CCATAAAATACAATGTTATGATGCGTTTGGCGAGGTATATGAACTGTTTTGAAGTTTATGCAAATTACTTATTGATAATGTAACTAATTTTTCTAAATTATATTTTTCAAAACTGTATTTCTTTTCTTTTATTGTCTTGAAATAACTTAAAAACTTGTCAAAAAGCATCTATTTTAATATATCTGATCTTAAACGGCCCAAACTATAAAGGAAAATAGTCAAAATACAATTTATCTACCACGACGTAATGAACAACGTAGTTCAAAACAAGTGATTTTAATAATACGAAATCCAAGATTTTTGTTAATTTGGTAAAAATGTCCGTATTCAATTAATTTAGATATGCCCAAGCGAACGTTTAGAAAATTTTCTCTGTGTAATCGCGCCTAAAGACGATTCGCCTCCTCCGTCCGCCCTTCCTACCCCTCCCCTCAAAGCGCTGCTACGCAGACTATCTAAACGTTCGCTTGGACATATCGAAATTTTAATTGAATGTCAACTTTTGGAGCTCTTGTAGCCTGGTTYTCCATGTCGTGTTAAAGAGAGGCATGCCTTAGTGGGTCGCCAAGGCTATAAATTTTCCAGGGCTAAAGTGATGCTTTTCGCAAACTTTCATATATTTTGCTACGAAGTTGTCTTTAGGCGCGATTACGCGGAGCAATATTGCGCTGTTGTACCACCGTTGCGAGTCAACATGTAAGCTCGTGCTAAATAAGGGATGGACCATTAGAGACAGGCATTTTGGTTGCATGATATTTATTCTTTTGGGCTCAACCCTTGCACGTTATTTTTTTGCGTACAGTTAGATATTTTTGCTTGCTCGATATTTTTTGGGGGGATTTGATTTGCGCAACCCCCATCAACTAACTAGTGGCCCGTCCTTAAGATCCCGCTTTATCAGGTGTTGTTTTGATAGATCCCTGAATAGCTCTTGAATCGCGCATCTTGCAAAACCCCCCAGGAAATTGTAAAAAGCAAGACATTTTTACGAAATTAACTAAAATCTTGGACGTAATTGATCACTTGTCTTTAACCATAAAGTTGTTTATTCCGTCGTGGTAGATAAATTGTATTTTGACTATTTTTGTTAGTGGGGGTCGTTTTACAGAGAAGATCAGATATATTAAACTATGTGCCCCTGGTAAGTTTTTAAGCTATTTCAAGATAGTAAAAGAAAAAAAAATACAGTTTTGAAAATTACATTTTAGATTAATTTGCACAAGAGAAAATGAACTAAGAGATGGAATTCACCCTATATAGCGTTGCAACCATCATGTGCACAGTTTGATGCTATTTTTAAACCATTTGTTTTTCTGCACGTGCATTTACTGCGCGCGCTCTACGCTGTTYGTTTGTTACGCTGTTTGCTTCCGTTTTTGGGGTTTTCCCGTTATTTCGACTCTGCATATGAATGTGCACGTCGAAAGCTTGGCAAATACGACAGGAAATTGAARCAGTAATTTGTTCAACTTTCTGGAGTATTTTTTACATTTATTTTCCAAAGCATTTTCCTACATCGTCATCTTCAGGGCAGATTTAAACATTCGAACATAATAAAAGCACAAGAAAACGTTAGCAAACAGCGTAGAGCGCGCGCGTACTATGCGCGTGCAGAAAATCAATGCAAACGATCAAATAAATGATATCATTGGGTAATATTTTTAGAATAGATTCTAAATATTGCATCAAAGTGTGCAGATRATGGGGCACGGGGATTCCTTCTCTTAGTTCAATTGTCATGGTTTGCATTATCAATAAGTAATTTGCATAAACTTCAAAACAGTTCATATACCTCGCCAAACGCATCATAACATTGTATTTTATGG